AGGTATGCCTCTTTATAAAAAGGCCAAGTATTTCTGCCAGATATTACTATGCAGCAATCACACAAAAAACAAGACAATTCTTTAAGGCTATGAACAGATGTTGCATTTGTACCAGTAGAAGCCATGTTATCCTGGGACAAAGTGCAGTTGTTCAGACATTCACGTCTATTGTCCTGGGATAAATCCTAAAAAAAAGATCATGGGATAAGACATGCTAACAGTTTATCCTGGGACATGGCAAAGTGCGCCTGAACTGTTATTCAAGGGTTGCATCCTTGAATCAATGGCAGAAAAGAAGCACTGCATTTAGCCACTCACTTAAGCCTGATTAGAAAGGTGATGTGTATATATGCTAAACCCAGGATATTTTTCTGAGACAAACAAGCACAACTTGGGCTAAGAACAGGACATTGCATTTATCCCAGGACAAGAATCACAATCTAGCAGTTCTCTCTGCTCCCCACCAACGCTTCCATAATTTAGCAGAGTCATTAAAAATGCAACTCGACTTGGCTGGGACAGATAAGTTAGCCCAGCAATTCACTGTCTTACTGTCCTAAAGCATTTCTTTTTGGGGCTTAATGCACCTATCAGACAGACTTTTAGACCCTCAATAACAAATAAGAAACAACACGCATATACTGCACTGCTCTTTTTTAAATACCTTAACTCTGCACTTTTGCCATTGTAACCGGCGAAACAAGTTAGGTGACAATACCCACAGATTTCCCTTTACGTTTGTTAAAATCCTTTTGCTATATCCTATTCAGGAGGAGGTTTTAGTTAAGATACAAGAAATGACTATGCATTTGACTGACCTAGCCTAGCAAGCGAAGGCCAAAAGGGGAAGGCGACTGCTGCCTATAAAGGGTAAGAAAAGAATTGTTTACGCTATAAGATAGTTGGTATAAGAATAAGCAAGTATAAACCGGCCATAAATAAAATTTAGACTAGAAATTGGAAGCGGTTTCTAACCATCGGAGCAGCAAGGTTCTGGAACAGCCTTCCAATGAAGCTAGAGATGAAAGGGGAGAACTGGCTAGTTTTAAGATGGAGCTTGATGCATCTATGGGAGAGATTACAAGACATGGCTGCCTCCAATAGTATGGGACTGAACGGGACTCAGGACACTCTTTCCAGTTCCATAATCTCATTATCCCAACTGGAGCTAGCACTGAAGGGCTATCTGATTCCAATACAACCCCCATACAATTCTCCTATACTCTTCCTTAGAATATTTTAGAGAGTTCCATGCAAGATGGTTTTTAACCATAGCACAGTCCTTACATAATTATACACAAGATATCTATTACCTTTGTGTTTTCTTGGTTTGTTTTTCACTAGTACCAAGAACATCAGCCTTCAATCCTCTCCAAGGTACTGACAGGCTTGCACTTAGAACAGAGACCAAAAAAAAGTCCCACCACCACTGAAGTTTAGTAAAGATTTTCAGTTTCTAAAGACTAACTTGTCCAGAGAGGTATGAGTTTTCATAGCCAACAACTTAGTTCGTCCTACCTTCTACCTGACTAATGCAGTTTGAACACCTCTAATTTCTAAAGTCTTTTATTACCCACCAAGTTCAAAGAAGGATTAAAACACTTTGACCTACGATCATCTAATCTCAAACACAATGAGGTGGAGTAAGGAATGAAGGAAGGAGGCGGGATGGGGGCAGGTTGTTGTATGGTTAACTGAATAATCAAGCTGCCACATGCAGGTTTGAACAAGTCTTTCCCATCCCTTTAAGTAATTTCACACAGGGCCTAGTCTGCCAGCTGCGCTATCTGAAGTATTTCCAAATTTTCTTCCAGCTCTACCACCACAGAAATCCTCAATGTACACTTCACATCCCCCACCTCCCATTAAGAGCTAGAAGCCCATCTTTGACTAGCCAGCTACATGAAAAAGCAATAATCAAATGCCTGTCAGTTAAGAATCCCTACAGATCATCTGCATTCTTAGCTAGGGCCAAACTTTTCCCCACTATGTTATGTGCAAAAACTTCTCTCAGACAGTATGCAGAAAACACCACCAGCATATGATGCAAGAAGGGGGAAAAAGTGGGAAAGAAAGTTGTATGGCCTATTAATGGATTGAAATGACCATCAAAAGTAACTCTGTGAAGGGACTGTCGCTTCCACAAGATACAAATTGCTCCGAGAAAACTGCAGAGGGAATTATTGGGGCGGCGGGGAAGCTATAACATATTTATTTTTACTTCCATGAACAGCACTAGAGCCTTTTAAGTAGCAGATCTGATTTATATTATCCTCTTGCTTTATTTTTATTATACATAAGCAACAAAAGTTACCACAATCAGGCAGTGAAATCTGCTAAATGACAACATAACTTAGATGAAAGGTACTTAAACACCAGTAATAAATGGAAGTGTAAAACCCAAAAACCAGAGATGGATTACTGTAACCTGTAAACTAGAGCACCTAACCACTTAAAAACAAGTAGGTAAAGGCACTAGCTTTGCACATCCCATACAGAAGACAAGACAACCAATCCACCTCTTATGTACAAGAGATTTTCTTCACCAAACAGATGCTATTCTGGTTTCTAGAAGTCTCATTCTGATCTCACAACAAACAGTATAGATCTTGAGTGAAACCTGATTATTTACTGACCAGCCTGAAGTACCAACACATGCACCATTTTCACGTAATAAGACTATACCATTGTCTTACTAAGTAACTATATAAACAACTATTTTCAATAAACAGTAGTAATTATTGTATTAAAATAACTCCAGTCAGTTAACAACTGATATTTTCCATATAACAGTAAAAAGTACTTGGACATTATAACCACAATAAAAGTTATACAAGAACACTAACAATGCTTAGGACAGAGTTATAATTTCCTATACGATAATAAAATATGCTTCCCTTTACAAAAACAATACATCTCATACTAGTATCAAAATAAATGCAAGAAATCCTTAATTCTTCATCTCCCTGCTTTTAAATCATCAAGGATGTTTCAGGTACAGGCAAGTAAACTATTATTCAGACGCCTCCAAATCTGAATAACTTTAAAAAAAAAAAAAAAAAAAAAAAAAAGGCCGGGTTCCCCCCCCCAAAACCCCTTTAATTTTTAAAAAATTTTCCCGTTGTAAAAAAAAAAAAAAGGGGTGCCCCCCCCCAAAAACCTTTAAATTTTAAAAAATTTTCCCGTTGTAAAAAAAAAAAAAAAAAAAAAAAAAAGGCCGAGTTCCCCACCCACAATCACTCTTAAGTTTTAAAAGATTTTCCCTGTGTACGATACAAATAAAATTGGATGGACAAGTCAGAGTGGAGTAGTTATGTCATCTTTCCAGAGCTGTTTGTGATTACTTATATTTCACAAGACACTCTTAGCATTTTCTCAGCTTGGACAATAAAACCAAACTAGCCCAGTTCAGGATTATATAATCCATTTCACTAAAAAGTGATCAAAACCAGTACAGCACTGCAATGTGCAGGTTCCAGGTATTGCAATGAAAGGACTGTATTTTCAAAATGCTGCCAGCTGACTTTAAAATAGAGAACATTTGCTAAACAGAACTGGGGGCAAATTTGATTTAATATCCCTTCAGCAATTTGCATGTCATCTTTTTTTTTTCTTCCTTTCTAAACCCTAAATTGAATTTCCTTTTTCTGTCTGTCCAGACAACTTCGCTGCAAAGTTCTCAAAAGAGGGCTTTTAAAGCCTTGTAGAAGACTTCACCTTTTTTTGGAAGAACATACGATGTTAGGCTTCCTTCTTGTTTTATGAAGTCACTAAATGTCACACCGAGCCATGTATAAAGCTCTCTAAATGAATCCGCTCCTAATGCAGGACCTGAGCACGCCACTAGTGACGAGACGGCGAAGCTCTGTTCACTGTACAGCTGTTACTGCAAATCAAAAGATGTACCCGTTATAGAGTCATCACTGAAATGTAAATGTAGCTGCTTTCTATTTTTTTCCCCCCTCAGAGATCCCTAAATATGTTTCTAAAGACGACAAACTTATTTTTAAACCTATGATTTAGAAGCCTTTGCTGCAGGAATTAGCCAATTAGTACAAAGCATCTCCTTTGAAAAAAGGACTTTGAGGGACTTCATATTAATGAAAAAAATGGAAAGCTTTGCCAATTTCCTGATGCCGTTCATGCATCACAGCAGAACCCCTGCATTTCCAAGCTGGTTTTAGGAAGCTGCGAGCATGTCCTCCAAAACTTTCACCCGGGCATCCCAAATCCACACGTGCTCGTACCAGTTCATACAGTCACTTGCAGCTTAGCTGAAGCTGAGCCCAGTCATTGCTTAAGACCTACCAATGCCGTCCTTGGTTTCCCAGGGCACCGTTCAGTCCCCCACCCTCCTCGCCCTGAAGCAACAAGGCGGCAGAGTTTCCCAAAGGCTGTTTTCCTTTCCACCACGCCTGAACTTGGCCACGATGTGGCTGGCATCAAGCAGCAGCAGACCGGCCTGGAGGGCTGGCACGAAGCAAACGACGCCGCTGTTCCTCACGGATGTTTCAGGTGCCACCGTCCTTCGTGGGAGCAAGGAAAGCACCGAGTGCCCCCCAGCCAAGTCGGGACCTCGAAATCAGACTTTCGTAAAAGGCAAGGGGAGCAGAGAAAGCCTTCCCAAGGCAGCCCCGCGGCCTGGAGAAAGCAGCGGTTTCCCCTCAAGCTGCAGCTCCCGACCTTTCCCGGGCCCAGGCACCCTCCTGTGACACGAGGCCTGGACAGAGCGCAAGAGCTGCCTGCCACGGGGCGGACGCCGGTCCATCGCGCCCCATGTCCTGCCGAGGGTCTGACGCGGGCTCCCCCACCACCCCTCTCTCCAGCATCTCCGGTCCGACATCCCCATGGATGCCCCTTTCCTCGTGACCCCGCGCGGCCACCGACCCGCCCAGGGCCGCGCTGCCGGGCCCGAGCCCAGGGTCCACCCGCGTCTGCTCCCCGGCGACACCCCCGGGCCGGCCCCGCACCC